AGCCTCCAGAATCTGATTGACCCCACACACACACACACACACACTTTTCAAAACTTCTGTACTGTGTCACCTCGCAACAGTTATAAATGCGGTTCAAGATACTATCTAATTCCACTTACCAAGACTAAAAAGCTTACAACCTACTTCCTTGGAAAGTGCTTATTTATTTGGCAAGTCTATGGTTGTTGTTATTTAAAAAAAAAAAAAAAAAAAAAAAAAAAAGTAAATCACTCCTGGCCTGCAATCTCAACCCTTCCCCCAATATGTAATGTCATCGACTTCCTGTGCAGGAGAGCGGCCTTTTGCTAAATCCAGGTTGTCTCCTGCTTAACTGCCAATAAACCAACTTCCACATAACTTCCAGACAGCTGGGGGAGAGGTCCCCGGGAGTTTTAGTCACGGTCCAGGAACACGCGTCCGCCCAAAAATCTGCAGCTGTCCTCTCTCTCCAGTGCATTTTTTTAAATGGGATTTGGGGGGGGGGGGGGGGGCCTCTGGTGAAGCATCTGACAAAATGCAAAATCTTCTTAGGGGTACCTCCTGGCTGGCCCAGGGTGCTGGTGAGAGGGAAGGGGCACCAGGATGGCCCAACCCAGACCTTCAGGCAGGTCCTGCAGGCACACGGGCACCTCGTGGGATGGAGAGGGGCATGCAAAACCTGGACAGACGTGGGCTGTCCCCTTTCAAGGCACAGACGCTGGTGCAACTATTAAAAATGCGCCTTTTCTAAAGCAAGTATTTTTTATTTTTTTTACACTGCTCACAGAAACAGCCTTCTTGATCTGCCAGCACTCGGACATCTTCCTGAGACTTTTTCACAGCTTGCTAAGAAACAGAGAGCTGACCAGCTTCCAGCGGGCACTCCAAGAGAAATCCGTATCAGTAAAAATGCAAATCAACGTGCAAAAAACTCCTCGGCAAAGCGCGGGGACTGTCTGCCTCTAAATCTTTTCCCCATCAGATAGGGGGCATCCGTGGAAGCTACTTCCCTGGAGCCGTCAAAAGTTTCCAAAAACACTTCTTCCCAGAAGCCCTTTAGGCTCCCGGCTGCTTTAAGAGTTTTGTGGCTGGGGTCTCAGAAAGCTTTACATTCAACCGACCGGCGAACGCGCTGGCATATTAAATTTATAATCATGAAAATATGACTTACTGGGTGAGTGTTGAACCCATAATCCATACTGCAGACATTAAACCCCAACCTATAAAGATTAGCGCGGAATTAATACTGTGGGCAAGTCAGACTGAAACCTAAACATGTCCCCCATAAATATCTCGGGGAAGGAGATGAAAAACAATTAGCATACATACCAAAGGAGGGCAAGACCACCTGTTCTTTTTCAGGGTGATAAGCATTTTATTGTTCTCTATTTAAAATGTAATGACCTGTGTAATTACAGTAATATTGCATTGTTATGGAGGGGGGCCCCCCCCGGAATGTCACACTCTGAAAAGTGTTGTCAAAACAAAAGGGGATGCAGGTGGGGGGTGGGAGGACGGCGGGGGAGGACCGCCATTAACCCTTCCCACTCCCGAGTCTGGCTCTTTTGTAGGAGAGAGGATTATGTTGTTTGGATGAGGAGAAAACATCCATTTTTCCACCGGGCTCCATACAGCCCCTGTGAATAGGCCCCTCTTGGCTCCCTGGAAATGCCTGATTCCAAGTTCAAAAATGAATTCAAGATGCTGCTTATTTATTTGTGCAAACCTAGTAGTAGCAAACAATTCGGTGGAAAAAGCAAATAACCGAAGTCTGACCATCAAAAAGCAATCTCAAACCGAACTGGGATTCCGACCACACCAGATCCCCACTTCTGGCTTGGCAGGAGGGGAAAAAGGAAGGCAACCCTACTTTTTTCCTATCAACTTTATTATGGTGACCGCTGTCTTATCTGTAACCGACAAATGTTACCACAATCCTAATATTTGCAATCCTATCACTTCCCATCTACTTAGCTGGACCTCTTTCCTCTGACTGTGTTTTTGTCTTCCAATCTGTCTCTTAAAAAGCCGTTCCCAAGACTGTGTCAGAGACTACATGAATGGCATGCAGAAATCTCTGTGTCGTTTGAAAATTAAAATTATTAACTATCAAGCGTTATGGCGTCTCCAGCCACGAAAGCGTTATTCTTGAGATAATGTGGTATTCATCCTACGTAGATTCAATGATACTCCTTAATTCTTTACCTTCTCAGATAGAAAAGCAGAAATCAGGGATGGAAAGAGTTGGCTTTTTAAAGGGATGCAGCTGTTTTGCAGGTATACCTGACAGGCAACAGAAAACGGAGCAAAAACACCCCCGCCAAAGAGGGTCGGATATGAATGAAGCACACAGCTAATTTGTCTTTACGCCTTGCCCTCCCAAACACCCTCTAGGAAGCACTAAGCACTGCGGATAGGCATGAAAAGACGGCTGTCTCGCCTATAGATGCCTCCGGCAGCTGTATCAAATCTGGAATTGCAAGCTGGCCCCTCTGACGGGAGACGTCAGGAGTGACACACAACAGCCTCTCGTCCTCATTTCCATGGCTCTGCTAACCGGCCTAAATAAATAACTTTTTTAATTTTGGAGCGCAAAAATCCAACCCGGGGAACCGACAGACAGGAAGGCGGAAGGGGCAGTGCACACACAAAGATGCCAGTGGGTGTTTGCCATGCAAATGCGGCAAACTGCCTACTGAGTTCAGAAATGCCTCCTCCTCGGACCCGATCTGATGTCACCGCACACGGCCACCCGCTAGGTCCACAATGAACAGAACCAGACTCTGTCTATTCCTATAATGCCCACCAAGGGGGCCGGCGGCTCGGGGGCCTTCCCTCGCGCGCCAGGAAATCGCTTCTTTGCCTCCAACGATTTTTCCCGTTTCCCGAATGACAGCCCAACGCCACTGCTCAAGTTTTCGGAGGAGATAGGATGGCGGCACGGCCAGCCGTCACAGCCTGGAAGTTTGCAGAGAGAGTCAAGCAAGCCAGCAAGACGGCCATCCGGGCTCAATATTCAGATGGCCAAGTGGGTTTTTAAATAATACCGTGGGAGGGGGAGGGGAGGAAGACATTCTCCTGGTTACTTTGGAATGTTGCTCGGTCGGGTTAGTGAGTACACAAACCATCCGATTCGGAGCAGAAAGCTCTTGCCCTCCAGCTCCGGAGGGGGGGGAAAAAATACAACTGTGCTTCCCCCACCACCATGGCCGGGTCCCTGCAGCCTGAAGGCGCTGGCCCTGCAGGGAGAGGTCGGCGGAGCAGCTCTCCCAGCTTCCCCGGCAGGCAGAAGCCTGGGTGCAGGGGAGAAGGGATAATTCTTTCTCTTTCCTAGCCGTACAGAAATGACCGCTCTTGCATGCCCTTGCCATTTTTTTTTTTTTTTGCCAGGGCCCAAGAAACAAGTCCAACCTGATGGTTAATATTTTAATGCTTAAAAACACTTGTAGATCTGATCGACTTCCCGTTCGCCAAGCCATAGGGTCATGAGCATCGAACCCATGCCTGTTCAACAGCGGGTGCATTATTTCACACAGCTACCTCCAGTTCCCGAAAGAGGAAAAAACAAGTGTGTGTGTGTGTGTGTGTGTGTGTGTGAACAAGGGGTCGTGGATCAGGGGGAACCAAAGCAGAGAAGGTGCAGATGACAATTCCGGTAAAAACCCGGCACAAATGGCTCCAGGCTGCGGCTAGAGGTTCTTCCCTTCAGGCTTCTTAGCGGATGGGGGGGAGGGAGTTCAGGGCAAGGGCAGGGGGCAGAGGCCAGTCCGGGGAGGGGCTGAGCCTTAGGAACCAATGTCAGCGCTGGGCAGCAGCACAGCCTTCGGGAAGCGGCCAAGAGCCTGGCACCCCGAGCCGCTGCAGGGCCTCCCAAGTTGGGAAGCCCACGATCAGCAAGTCCCCTCCCTGGAAAGAGAAGCCCCTGGCTTTCCCCTCTGCACCTTGGGCCCCAGTACCCCACTGTCTGCCTCCCCTTCCCCTAGGGCTCACTGAGCTGGCAGGCGCACACCCCGCTCTGGCCCTCTAAGCTCCAAGGCACCAACATTCCCTAGAAACACGCCTCCAGTCCGCTCGGAGGAGGCGGCCATCCCGCCTGCCCACAAGCCCAGAACCCGGCCGCAGGGGCCTCCCAGCCCCGCGCAGGCCGGGGAGGGGGCAGCCGGCGGCCAGGGCGCCGGGGAACCGAGCCCGCCAAGGCACCCGGGGCGCGGGCGGCCCTGCGGGGCGGCCCAACCACAGCAAGCCCGGAGGCCCCAAGTTTGCAGCGGGGCCGGTCTGGCCAGCGTGACCTCCCAGGGCACAGGGGGAGGAGGGCTGAGGGCCGGCGATCGGCACTAGAAAGCTAAACAAATATCCGAGAAAGACGGGCGCTTCTCTCCGAGGCCTCGGGCTCCGCGCGCGCTCCGACCCCCGGAGGCCAGGCGCCCCTCCGGCCCGCGCGCCCCCGGGGCCCCGGCCGCGGCAGCCAAGGGGTTAACCGGGGAAAGCCCGAGACGCCGAGAGAGAGAGAGAGAGAGAGAGAGAGAGAGAGAGAGAGAGAGAGAGAGAAGAAAGAGCCACACAGTCATCTTCCCAGGGCGCAGAAACAAACACCGCCGAAGTGAGGGAGGGAGGGGGCAGCCACCGGGGCGCACAAAATAAAGCTGCTCTGATTTTTTTTTTCCCCTCCCCTCCCCAACAAAAGCCCTGCTCGGACACAGAGAAAGGTCTCCACTCCCCCCCCCCACACACACACACACACACGACATCACGAGGCAGCAAACTGAAAGCAAGAACATGGCGAAGTGCAAACAAAAATCCAGTCCACAAAAGGCAGAAAAGTTTGGAGAGTTTTCGGGCGGCCTGGGCCGCGGGCGGGGGAGGGGAGGCGGGGAGGGGCGGAGGCGGGCGGGGGAGGGCAGGGAGCGGAGGGGAGGGGAGGGGAGGGAGGGAGGGAGGAGGGGAGGAGGGGGCCGGGGAGAGGCCGCGTGCGGGGCCGGCGGGGCGGGCGGGCGGGCGGGGCCGGGCGCGGAGGCACTTACGGTTCGGGCGGTGGGCGAGAGCGATCCGTTGGGGAGGTAGGGGCTCGTCAGGTCGGGGATCATGATGAAGGGGTAGCCGGGGTACGGCGGCCCCTTAAAGAGCCCTCCATCTTGCCTCTTGGCCGCTAACATGGCGGGGCGGCGGCGGAGCGGGGGAGAGAGCGGGAGAGAGGAGAAACTTTTTAGCCGGCGGCCCCGGCGGCCGTGCGCCCCGGCCGGGCGGGCGCGGAGCCGGGCCGAGCGGGGGCGCGGGCCCCGGGCGCGCGGGGGGCGGCGGGCCCGGGGGGTGAGGGGGGTTGGGGCGCGCGGGGCGCACTCACCTTCTTCCAAACTTTCCCGGGATTTATCTCGGAAACTTTCGGAGCGAGGCGGAGGCCGTCTTTCCGCCTTCCCGGAGGGATGGAGGTGGGGAGGGCGAGGGGCAAACGCCACGCAGAAGAGGGGGAGCAGGGTGGGGGGGAGAAAGATCCAGCAGGGTGGGAGGTTCGGGGGTAGGTAGGTGGGGGGGGGGGGGGAGAGAAAAACAGGGTTACAAGTTTTCGCCATGGTGGCCCGGCACGCACACGCCGCCTGCCCGCCCGCCCGGCCCCGCGATCGGCGCCCCGATTTCTCTCCCCCGGCCCCCGATTTCTCTTCTCCCCTGGAAATCAACGTTTGCCAAACCCAGGAAATAGGTTTTAAAACACCCCCACCAGGCCCGAGGGGGGCTTTCTCCTACCTCGGAATCGGAGGAGCTGTTTTGATTCGTTTCTGATTCATTGACGAGGGACGACTTGACATCGGCCAGGTCCCGCTCCGCCGAGGAGTTCTCCGAGCTCTTCTCCTCCTGCTCGCCCTCGTCTTTGAAGGAGATCAGCTCGTCGTTGGCGCCTAGGTCATCTCCTCCACCGCCGTTCAACTGCGGCATGTTTTTTTTCCTTCACCCACCGGCAGCAATTTTGGAAGAAAAAATGAACGAGGAAGAAAAGCAAAAAAAAAAAAAAAAAAAATACCCCCCAAAAAAAGTTTTGTTTCCCCCTCCTCCGAAAAAAAAAATAATTGCAAGGAAAAAAAAAAAAAAGACGAGTCCAAGGTGAACTTTTTTTTTTTCCTTTCAGCTTTGGGGTCTTTTTTTCTCTCCTGGGGAGGGGAAAAGAGGGAGGAGGGGAGGGGAGGAAGGGGAAGGGGGGGGGAGAGATCTTCTGCACGCGTGAGTTGGGGTTTCTTTTTTTCCTCGCGTTCCCAAGGATCCGATCAATGTGCAAAAAAAAAAAAAAAAAAAGAAAGAAAATAATAAATAAAAAAGGGGGGGTGTAAGAAGAAAAAAACACCACCACCAACAAACAACAAGAAGTCAGTTATAAAAAAGCGCAAAAAAGGGGGGGGGGGGGCCGAAAGCCGAAGATACTGGAGGAGCTCGTGCCGCTCGAATTTGAGTGAGTTGAAGTTAGACTGAGAGCTTTTCAGTTCAAAGGCGGCGCTGATTGACAGATAGAAAAAGGGGATCGAAATCCGGAGGAACGGAGTAGTCTGGGAGCGGAGATTATTGACAGGGCGAGAGGAACACACTCGCTTAATGAGATGCCGGGGGGCGGGGCCGCGCCGGTGACGTGTGCATAAATAAACAGCCGGGGGGCGGGGCGGGGGCGGCCAACAATGATCCTTTCGGGCGCCGGGAGCGGGAGGCGGGGAGGGAGGGGGGGGAGGGAGGAGTGCGGGGAGGGGAGGGAGGGGGAGAGGCCTGCGCTGAGTGTGCGACCCCGGGAGCCCGGGCGAGGGGACGGACGGACGGGGGCGACTCGCCCCGGTTTAGGGGGGTGGCCTCGGAATGACAATGCGGAGTGAGAGAGGAGGGGAAAGGGGTGGCGACCAAGTCAGGAATCCGAGCCCTAGGAAGGCGGAAGAAAAGCCCACTTGGTTGGGGGGGGGTGGGGGGGGAGGGCCCAGGGGCGGGGATGGGGAGAGAGGCCCAGCAAACAGTGCAGTTTTAAGAAATACTATAGAAATAAAGTCTTCCAGAGAGAGGGGAAAGGAGGGGGTGGGGGTGGGGGTGGTAAGGAAGGGGTGCGTGGGTGGGGGTGTGAGGGGTGCTCAGGGGGTGAATCCCGCAGTTGAGATCAGCCACCCTGGGGCAGGGTGTGAACCGAAGTGGCCAAAAGAGAAAGATCCAGCCCTCCACTTTCGGCGGGCTTGGGGAAGTGGAGGGCTGGGCAGAGTTCCTGGTCATTGCAGTGAAAGAAACTATTAACCCACGAGGTCTTCCCTCCCTTTTTTTTTTTTTTTTTTTTTTTTTTTTTTTTTTTTTTTATTAACAGGGAATCGGTTCATGAAACGTTGTCTTCCTAGAACAAATATGCCAAGATGACTTTTTATCCAAAAAAATAAATCCAAATCTGTAGTGTTTGTTAGGGACATTAAAAATATCTTTTAAGGGGGGAAAAAAATACATGATTCTGTAGTGTTGGTTGGGTGTGTGTCTGTGTGTGTGTGTGTGCGTGTGTGTGTGTGTGTGTGTGTGTGTGTGTTTAACTGACGTCGGAGTTGGTAGGAAATGAGCTAGGATTCAAAGTCCTTTCTGACTTTGGAGGTGAAAAGTTTGGGCGTTAACACCACCAGGGAAAATAAAACTGAAAGTTCACCAAGCCCTGGGATCAGAAGTGCTGGAGTCTTCCTCCAAGGGGGTCTGAAATGAAATCCCGGAAAGACTGCCCAAATAATCAAGATGTAGATGGCTCTGGCAGGAAATTGCTAACCAAGTTGATGCTGGAAGACCTCAGAGAGGAGATGGAAAACCTGGGGTTTGAAGCAGGCGTTTTTTGTTGACTTTTAGGCACTCTCCTGGGAAGCAGATTGATTTGCTACAAAATGGGAACAGAATTATGTTTAAAGGGGGAACAGCCAGGCTTCCAAAACAGTGTTCCTGGGTGATGAAACAAGAACACTCATTTTCTTGCAAATCGCCAATGAGAAGTGGGCTAGGAACTCCAACATGAAAAGGGGACAAAAAGAATGGGGGGGAGGGGGAGAGAAGAAATCAGTAGGAATTAGCAAATTGTTAGAAATAGTGTTGGTCTAGAGTTCGTGATGCATTAATTTATCCCACCCATCCCTAAAAAAAATAAAAGTAAATAAATAAAAATCTCGCCCTGGCTGGTTTGGCTCAGTGGATAGAGCATTGGCCTGCGGACTTAAGGGTCCCAGGTTCGATTCCAGACAAGGAAGGGCTTATGCCCAAATTGGGGGCATGCAGGAATCAGCTGATCAGAGATTATCATCCTTGATGTTTCTATCTCTCTCTTCCTCTCCCTTCCTCTCTGAAATCAACAAATACAATTAAAAATCTCACTTGCTTTTCAAGCCAGCCCATCAGCACCTAAGATTTCCAACAGAAAAGCAGATTTACCATGTAATATTTAGAGAGTTTGAGGTTTCAGCAAAACTGTTTTATTAGCTAAAGGTCTCAGAAAGAAAGACTACTAAAAATAATGATAGCAAGACTGACAAGGCCCATGCATTCCCCTGCAATGGAAAAAATCCACAACCACATTTGCACACTAAACAGTAAGAGATGCAGGCAAAATAAAGACGTGGTGGGAGGAGGGGGGAGGGCTGGAATCACTGTAACTCCCAACTTTAATATTAATCAGGAAAATCAGAAGTGGAGGGAGAAGAAGCCTGAAGAGAAGCAGAACAAATGTGTACATTTAATCAGGCAGGATTGAATAGGGTACAAAGCACAGGACTAATTAGTCTCAGCAGGTAGGACTAACCTTCAGACTTCATAAATAAATAAGGCGGGCACCGTTTCTAAGAGGGAGAGTGGAGACAGAAAGGGGATTATTTCAAGACACCAAGTAAAAACATGAAGAATGAAATGCTTCACTGTTAAGTCCATGTACAAATGGATTTAACAGTTTCCTTTTTTTTTCTTTAGGTCTTTTCACTTGCTTGCCTGTAGGTTTATACATCCAGCGAATGGCCGGTGGCTTTTCACACTTTGCTAATTGTCACCTGTACACTGAGTGTGCCCAAGTCTGTGTACAGCCTAGACTTTCCGAAGGCCCGGTTTAAGGGCTTATTTACTTTAACTGGGACACATTTATAGTAACTCGATTTTATGGCAATTTCTCTCTCCTGGGTGGTGGCATTTTGTTTTTTTCATCTAACCCCGATCTGAATGTAGTGGGATAATGAGGCCTTCTATATCCTTTATAGAGGACTACCTGGATAATAAACAGACTGACGGGAAATGTTAAAGAGTGTACTTATTGTTTTGAATGTCCTGGCCTGCATTTTTATCATATGTAAATATGATGGCTTTCTTCTGATGATCAGTAGCCTTATACATTTTGGCATATCCTTATATTTCTCATGCAAAGGAAACCCTTGAATCTTTCTTTCTTTAAATCTCTGACTTAATCAAGCAATTAAAAGTTATTTCATGATAGCACACGTGCCACTTTTAATTTCCTTGCCTGGTGCCATAAAAAGGCTTGGGAAGACCAGCTAGGCTCTCAGACGGTCAGTAATCCCAGAGTCTCCTAAAGGGTGATGTCAGGATAGGGTTGAGGGAAGGAGTTGGGCAGGGAACTGCAATTAGCAGAAAGCAAGGTCACATAATCTATATATTTAGATATTTTTTATTGATTTTTTACAGAGAGGAAGAGAGAGGGATAGAGAGTTAGAAACATTGATGAGAGAATCATCAGTCAGCTGCCTCTTGCACAACCCCCACTGGGGATGTGCCCACAACCAAGGTACATGCCCTTGACCGGAATCAAACCTGGGACCTTTCAGTCCACAAGCTGACGCTCTATCCATTGAGCCAAACCGGTTTCAGCCATAATATATATATATTTTTTTTTTAATTAAAAAGTCAAGTTAGGCCCACAAAATGGACATGTGATTTATAGAGTTGGTGTAAACTTTTAAAGAACAGTTGCCGTGTGTCCAGGCTGAGGCAACTTGGACACTTCTTTCCTAGTTTAAACCAACTTCTCTCTCTAGATATTGATGACTCCTGGTCTATAGCAGGGATTCTGAAAGCAGAGAGGAAACTAGACCAGTTCTGACTTGAACTCGAATTAAGGGATTTTGCCATCTTGGTGTATACACATCGGGGGAGATGCTGTGGCCTCTTCCTTCGGAGGCTGTGCAGGAACCAGCCCAGGGCCTGAACTCCAGGTAAACTGTCCCTTAGGTTCCCTTTCTTCTCTGGCTCCTCATCTGCAGCTTCTTCACTTCTCTTTTCACTGCTCCCTTCAGCCATCCTCAATTAAATATTGGTGGATAGCTGAAACCGGTTTGGCTCAGCGGTAGAGCGTCGGTCTGTGGACTGAAAGGTCCCAGGTTCGATTCCGGCCAAAGGCATGTACATTGGTTGCAAAAACAACCCCGGTAGGGGGTGTGCAAGAGGCAGCTGGTTGATGTTTCTCTCTCATCGATTTTTCTAGCTCTCCCTTCCTCTCTGTAAGAAAATCAATAAAATATATATTTTTTAAAATATTGGTGGATATATGTTGATTTAATAAAAGTAATATAGCCCTAGCTGGTCTGGCTCAGTGGACAGAGTGTCAGCCTGCAGACTGAGGGGTCCCAGGTTCAATTCTGGTCAAGGGTGCATGCCCGGGTGGTGGGCTTGATCCCCAGTGGGGGGCGTGTAGGAGGCAGCCTATCAACAATTCTCTCTCATTATTGATGTTTCTCTCTCTCTCTCTCTCTCTCTCTCTCTCTCTCTCTCTCTCTCTGAAATAAATTTTAAAAAATATTTTTAAAAGTAAAAGTAATATGCATAAAATTAAGTGAATGAGTTACCTTTCCAGGGCATACTTCCTTGTTCTTCCCTACTGGGGAGTGTGGAAAGGATGCTCCAGTCTCTATAAACGGCCTGTCTGGCAAGGCTCCTCATGGGAGCGGCGGCAGAGTGTTAAGCGCCCTCTGGAAAGCGTGGGAGGAGACAGGCTGCCTTACCTGTGGCCCCTTCATCTTCACAGCGGAGGTGGATGGACTAGATCTTTTCTGAGGTTCTTTTTAGCGTTCAGAGGCCATGATTCCACAGTGTCAGCCCCCACCCCAGTTGTGGCAAAGGCTCACCAGCAAAACAGACACACCATACTAGAAGTTTGGCTTTGCAACTCAGGAGAAGCGAGGACGGTCTGTTCCTATTCACCAGAAGCCGGGAATATATGTTGACAATCATATTCAGCTCCCCCAATTGCTCTGCAAGATTCTGCTAAATTACCCTTGACAGCGATGCGCACATGTGCGCGTGTGCATGTGTGTGTGTGTGTGTGTGTGTGTGTGTGTGTGTGTTCTGTGTGATTTTTCTTTAAAGACCCGGGCTCCAAGATGGATGATCTGTTACCCACTCTGTTGTACTTATCTATGCAGGGAGTGTGCTGACTGATGGAAGTAAAAAAAAAAAATCTGAAAACATAAGGAAGCTATAAAATGGGGAAATGTTTAGAAGCCAAAGTCCTGATTCCTCGGTGAGATTTTCCTGTTTGCTTTTTGTTCTGTGTGGGGTGATGGCTCCTTATTTGGGCCTTGAGGAAAGCTGCTCCCTTAGC